AAGCTCAGTGAGCTGGGAGTCGTGGCTCCTCCAGGCATTCTGGTTCAGCTTGGGATTCTGAGGAACCACATTCGTCTGGGTGGCGTTGAGGCTAGGGACTGCAGGTAAGAAGTAAAAGAGGGACAAGATTACAGTTTCTCAGTCCAAATAAAAGGTGAGAGTCTAGATGAGTCTAGAAGTGGCTTAGTCAGTACTTCAAATATTGTAGAAAATTATTAAATACAAGCATGTCTAGAAAAAAAACATTGAAACATAATGCTGGAGATGCTGCTTGTTATTTAAGTCTATCTATCCTCAGATGCTGCTGTGTGCTGCATTTTGTATTTAACTATGGTAAAGCTGAAGAAGCATTTTAAATGTCTTTAAATAAAAAATGTTAAGCTTTGCCTGGCCTTTCTCATAATGGCAGTCAACCTAAACTTTACTTTGCAAGTCTAAGCTGTAGGTTTATATGTATCATTTTATTATGTCAGCTTAAAGTGTAGCTAATATGACACCTCCTGAGAGTCAGTTTAATCACCAATTTCCAGCTTATTCACTGTATGACAGCATTTACAGTTTAATTACAGGTTTAAGACTCCTGTTGTTGCTCTGTCTTTATCACAGGCCCTCGATTGGGCCGAGTGTGTACATTGAATACAGTACTGTAGACTGCACAACCATCTCGCCTTCCTTTGCGACACAATTACTAATAAATAACCACATTATCCTTGTGCTTCTCATTTTTATTCATTTATTTAATATTTAATAGTAAGGATTCATTGGTTTAAAAGCTGTAAAATAACAATGTACAATTAAAAAATCCTTAAATTTACTGCCATCATTGCGTTTATGCTCTGCAATTGTTGTAAAACAACTCTCCCACTGGCTGTGCAGTGAACTGCTGCAAGAATGTTTCCAGTTTATCCAGAGAGAGCTGCTCCACCAAGTTGTCCTCTGTGTTTCTTGCTCTGGCAGCGCCGCTCTGAATGGGTCTGTCGTTGTTGTCCACACAGCAGTAGGCATTCCACAGGTAGTCTGGGATGTTGACACGCTTAACATTGTTTTTAACAATCCAGCTGTCTGCAGAAGGAATGGCACCGACCAGCACGTAGGCCTTAGAGCACTTCTCCAGAAAAAGCTCAGTGAGCTGGGACTCGTGGATCCTCCAGGCATTCTGGTTCAGCTTGGGGTTCTGAGGAACCACATTGGTGAGGGTAAAAGTGGCGTTGCGACTAGGGACTGCAGGAGAGAAGGAAAAGAAGGACAAGCTTAAAGTCTCTCTGTCCAAAGAAAAGGTGA